TGGGGACACTGAAATGGGACATTGGGGACACCAGGACGAGATCTTCACCCTGTGACAGCCAGGGGACACTGGGGACACCAGGACGAGATCTTCACCCTGTGACAGCCAGGGGACACTGGAATGGGACATTGGGGACACTGGAATGGGACAGCAGGACGAGATCTTCACCCTGTGACAGCCAGGGGACACTGGAATGGGACATTGGGGACACTGGAATGGGACATTGGGGACACTGGAATGGGACACTGGGGACACTGGAATGGGACACCAGGACAAGATCTTCACCCTGTGACAGCAGGGACAGCCAGGGGACACTGGAATGGGACATTGGGGACACTGGAATGGGACACCAGGATGAGATCTTCACCCTGTGACAGCCAGGGGACATTGGGGACACTGGAATGGGACAGCAGGATGAGATCTTCACCCTGTGACAGCCAGGGGACACTGGAATGGCACATTGGGGACATTGGAATGGGACATTGGGGACACCAGGATGAGATCTTCACCCTGTGACAGCAGGGACAGCGAGGGGACACTGGAATGGGACATTGGGGACACTGGAATGGGACACTGGGGACACCAGGATGAGATCTTCACCCTGTGACAGCCAGGGGACACTGGAATGGGACATTGGGGACACTGGAATGGGACATTGGGGACACCAGGACGAGATCTTCACCCTGTGACAGCCAGGGGACACTGGAATGGGACACTGGGGACACCAGGACGGGATCTGCACCTTGTGACAGCCAGGGGACACAGAGTGGGGACATTGGGGACACTGGAATGGGACATTGGGGACACTGGAATGGGACACTGGGGACATCCAGGACGAGATCTTCACCCTGTGACAGTGGGGACAGACAGAACCTGGTGCTGGGGACACCCAGGATGTGACACTGAAGACACCAGGAGGTGACCCAGGAGGTGCCACCAGAGGTGCCACCAGAGGTGCCACCGCTCCTCCCGGCCGTGGAGCCCGAGGGGACACGGGGACTTTGGGGAGGTGTCCTGGTGTCCCCTCCCTGTCCCCCTTGGGGCCGCAGGGCCACTCCCGGGACAACTGGGAGATACTGGGAGCCACTGGGGACAGGGACAGGGACGGGGACGGTGCCACCTCCCCCCGACAGCTTGTAAATAAACAGGAGCATTGTCACCCGGCTGGGCTGTGTCACCCCTGGGGACAGGTGTGACACCCCTGGGGACAGTGTGACACCCTGGGGACACTGTGACACCCCTGGGGACTCTGTGACACCCCTGGGGACAGTGTGACACCCTGGGGACACTGTGACACCCTGGGGACACTGTGACACCCCTGGGGACAGTGTGACACCCTGGGGACACTGTGACACCCCCAGGGGCGTTTGGGGACAGCGCAGCCCCTGGGACACCGCGCCAGCGCGGGGCTGGATCCCGGAATTCCCAAATCCCTGGGGAGCATCCAGATCCCAAAATTCCCCACCCCAATCCCAAATCCCAAACCCCAAATCCCAAACTCCAAACCCCAAACCCCAAATCCCAAACCCCAAACCCCAAATCCCAAACCCCAAACCCCAAACCCCAAATCCCAAACCCCAAACCCCAGCAGGGGCAGAATTTGGGAACCTCCCTGTGCCTCGGAGAACGTGGATCCCAAATTCCCAAATCCCAGAAATCCCCAAATCCCAAATCCCCGTCCCAGGATTGGCGCCCCTCCCAAACTCACCGTAAATCCCCCCTCCCCCATGGAAAAAAAAACCCCAAATCCCATTAAAAAAATTCCCCAAATCCCACAAAAATCGACTCCAAAATCCAGGAATTCTTCCCAGCTTCCAGCGCCCGCCCGGGCTCTGTTATTTATAATATTTATATGTGGAACCCCAGGATTTTGGGGGGAAATCCCGGGATTTTGGGGGGAAATCCGGGATTTGGGGGGGAAAACGCAGGGTTTTGAGGAAATCCCGGAGTTCTGGGGGAAATCCAGGATTTTGGGGGGAAATCCCGGGATTTTGGGGGGAAATCCGGGATTTTGGGGGGAAATCCCGGGATTTTGGGGGGAAATCCCGGGATTTTGGGGGGAAATCCGGGATTTGGGGGGGAAAACGCAGGGTTTTGAGGAAATCCCGGAGTTCTGGGGAGAAATCCCGGGATTTTGGGGGGAAATCCCGGGGTTTTGGGGGTGCCACCCCCCGATTGTCACCGTGTCACCCCCGATTGTCACCGGGGGGGGAGGGGACACCCGGGGGTATTTACAGCGTGGGGGAGGGGCGTACGTACATATTTATAGGATTTTTTTGGGGGGAAAAGGGGGAATTCCCAACAAAGTGCATTTGTCCGGCTGTCCGGGGGAATTCCCGGCCGGAATTCCCTGGAAAATCTTCCGGGGGTTTCGGGGAGGGGAGGGAAATTCCAGCCCATCCCCCTCCTCCCGGGTTAAAGGTGGGCGGGGGTCTCGGAGCCTGGAAGAAAAGGGGGAAAATGGGGGAAATAATGGGGAAAATGGGAAAATTAACAGGGAAAATTAATGGGGGAATGGGAAAATTAACGGGGGAAATAATGGGAGAAGTGGGAACATTAATGGAGAAAACAATGGGGAAAATAATGGGAAAAATAATGGGGGAAATGGGAAATTAATGGGAAATAATGGGGGGATAATGGGGGAAATGGGAAATAATGGGGAAATAATGGGGGAAATGGGACATTAATGGGAAATAATGGGGAAATAATGGGAATAATGGGGGAAATGGGAAATTAATGGGAAATAATGGGGAAATAATGGGAATAATGGGGGAAATGGGAAATAATGGGGAAATAATGGGGGGATAATGGGGGAAATGGGAAATAATGGGGGAAATGGGAAATTAATGGGAAATAATGGGGGGATAATGGGGGAAATGGGAAATAATGGGGAAATAATGGGAATAATGGGACATTAATGGGAAATAATGGGGAAATAATGGGAATAATGGGGGAAATGGGAAATTAATGGGAAATAATGGGGAAATAATGGGGGGATAACAGCAATAATGGGGAAATGGGAAATGAATGGGAAATAATGGGGAAATGGGACATTAATGGGAAATAATGGGAATAATGGGGGAAATGGGAAATTAATGGGAAATAATGGGGAAATAATGGGGAAATAATGGGGAAATAATGGGGGATAACAGCAATAATGGGGAAATGGGAAATGAATGGGGGGATAATGGGGGAAATGGGAAATAATGGGGAAATAATGGGGGAAATGGGAAATTAATGGGAAATAATGGGGAAATAATGGGGGAAATGGGAAATTAATGGGAAATAATGGGGAAATAATGGGGGATAACAGCAATAATGGGGAAATGGGAAATGAATGGGGGGATAATGGGGGAAATGGGAAATAATGGGGAANAATGGGGGAAATGGGAAATAATGGGGAAATAATGGGGGGATAACAGCAATAATGGGGGAAATGGGAAATGAATGGGAAATAATGGGGGAAATGGGACATTAATGGGAAATAATGGGAATAATGGGGGAAATGGGAAATGAATGGGAAATAATGGGGAAATAATGGGGGGATAACAGCAAAAATGGGGAAATGGGAAATGAATGGGAAATAACGTGGGCCAACGGCAGCGCCGGGCACTGGGGGCGTGGGGGACACGCAGGGACACTGGCGGGTGACACCCCGGGGACACCGGGGCTGTGGCGGGCTCTCACCTGTGCCCTTGGTGGCACTGCCAGCGCTGTGGGTGGCACCGTGTCCCCGCGGGGCCTGGGCCGTGCCCGGGGGGCCGGGGGGCGGCGGGGCCCGCCTGGGGACACCGGGGACGCCGGGGACGCTGGGGACACCGGGGACACCGGGGACGGTGGCCTTGTCCCCCCGCAGAGAGCGCAGCAGCTGCCGGTGAGCGGCTTCCAGGGCCTGGGGGACAGGGGACATGGGGACAGGGGACATGGGGACACTGGGACAGGGGGACACTGGGACAGGGGGACAGCTGGGCCAGCCCCGGGGACACCCGAGTGTCCCCTCCATGTCCCCATCCCCTCCTTGGTGTCCCCTCCGTGTCCCCATTAACGTCCCCTCACCCTGAGCCACGGCAGCTTCCCAGCGGTGTCCCCAACCATGTCCACACTGATGTCCCCAGTGTCCCCAGTGATGTCCCCTGTGTCCCCAGTGATGTCTCCTGTGTCCCCAGTGTCCCCAATGTCCCCAATGATGTCCCCAGTGTCCCCAGTGTCCCCAATGATGTCCCCAGTGTCCCCAGTGGTGTCCCCAGTGTCCCCAGTCTCACCCTGAGGCTCAGCAGTTTCTCACGGGTGTCCCCAGTGATGTCCCCAGTGTCCCCAATGTCCCCAGTGATGTTCCCAGTGATGTCCCCAGTGTCCCCAATGTCCCCAGTGATGTCCCCAGTGATGTCCCCAGTGATGTCCCCAGTGTCCCCAGTGATGTCCCCAGTGTCCCCAGTGTCCCCAATGATGTCCCCAATGTCCCCAGTGTCCCCAATGTCCCCAGTGATGTCCCCAGTGTCCCCAGTGATGTCCCGAGTGTCCCCAGTGTCCCCAATGATGTCCCCAATGTCCCCAGTGTCCCCAATGTCCCCAGTGATGTCCCCAGTGGTGTCCCCAGTGTCCCCAGTGATGTCCCCAGTGTCCCCAGTGTCCCCAGTGTCCCCAATGATGTCCCCAGTGTCCCCAATGTCCCCAGTGATGTCCCCAGTGTCCCCAGTGGTGTCCCCAGTGGTGTCCCCAGTGTCCCCAATGATGTCCCCAGTGTCCCCAGAGATGTCCCCAGTGTCCCCAGCGATGTCCCCAGTGTCCCCAGTGTCCCCAGTGATGTCCCCAGTGATGTCCCCAGTGTCCCCAGTGTCCCCAGTGTCCCCAATGATGTCCCCAGTGTCCCCAGTCTCACCCTGAGGCTCAGCAGTTTCCCCCGCAGCTCCTCCAGGGTGCCCAGGATCAGCTCCGTGTCCCCGGGGGTGTCCCCGACGTCCCCGGGGGTGTCCCCGACGTCCCCGGGGGTGTCCCCGACGTCCCCTCCCGGCCGGGGGTGGCCCCTGGGGAGGCTCAGGTAGAAGAAATTCCCTGCAAAGGGACGGGGGCACCTCAGTGGCCCCCGCCAGGCCCTTGGTGGCCCCGGGGACTCCTGGTGGCCCTGCTGGAGGTTCTGGTGTCCCCAGAGGGGATTTGGTGGCCCCAGGGGAGGTTCTGGTGGCCCCAGAGGATTTTTGGTGGCCCCAGGTGGGCATTTGGTGTCTCCTGGTGGCGTTTTTTGTGGCCCTTTTTGGGTTTTTGGGGCCCTTTTTGGGTTTTTGGGGCCCTTTTTGGGTTTTTGGGGCCCTTTTTGGGGTTTTGGTGGCCCCAAAGGATTTTTGGGGGCTTTTTTTGGGTTTTGGTGGCTTTTTTGTGATTTTGGTTGCCCTTTTGTGGGTTTTTGGTGGCCCTTCCTGGGTTTTTGGGGCCCTTTTTGGGTCTTTGGTGGCCCTTTTTGGGTTTTTGGTGGCCCCAAAGTATTTTTGGTGGCTTTTTTTGGGTTTTGGTGGCTTTTCTTGGTTTTTGGTGGCTTTTTTGTGATTTTGGTTGCCCTTTTTTGGGTTTTTGGTGGCCCGTCCTGGGTTTTGAGGCCCTTTTTGGGTTTTTGGGGCCCTTTTTGGGTTTTTTGTGGCCCTTTTTGGGTTTTTGTGGCCCTTTTTGGGTTTTTGGTGGCCCCAAAGGATTTTTGGTGGTTTTTTTGTGGCCCCTTTGTGATTTTGGTGGCCCTTTTTGGGTGCCCCTTTTTTGGGGCCCTTTCGGGGTTTTTGGGGTGGGGGAGGGGCCGGTTACCCTCGGCGCTGGCTCCGCCTCCTTCCCGCAGCTCAGGCTCTGATTGGCTGCAGCCGCGCGGGGGCGTGGCCTCCTCCGGCCCCTCCTCCTGGGCTGGGCCCCCAAAAATGGGGGGGGAGGGGAAGGGGGGGAGCGGCCCCGCCACCGCAATGCGGCAATTAGCACCCCGGTTAGTTAATTAGCACCTCAATTAGTTCATTAGCACCCCCAACTAGCACCCGAAATTAATGTGCACCCCAAATCGGAACCCCAAAGTTAATTAGCGCCCCTAATTAGCACCCAGCACCCCAAAATCGGCACCCAAAATTAGCTACAGAAATTAATTAACAGCCAGCACCGGAAAGAAGCACCCCAAATGACCAAAATTAGCATTCAGAACCCCAAATCAGAACCCAAAATTAATCAGAATCTGAAATTAATTAGCACCCCAAAATCAGCACCCCAAATTAATCAGCATCCAGAACCCCAAATTAGCACTCGAAAGTAATTAGCACCCAGCACCCAAAACTGGGAGACAAAATTAGCGCCCCAAAATTGGCACCCAGCAGCAAGACCCAAAATCAGAATTCCAAAATCAAAATCCCAAAATCAAAAAATCCCAAAATCAACGCCCAAAAATCAACGCCCAAAAATCAGAATCCCAAATGAACACCCCGAAATCAACACCCAAAAATCAGCACCAAAACCCAGAATCCCAAAATCGGAATCCCAAAATCAAAAATCCCAAAAATCAGAATCCCAAATGAACACCCCGAAATCAACAACCAAAAATCAGCACCAAAACCCAGAATCCCAAAATCAGAATCCCAAAATCAAAAATCCCAAAAATCAGAATCCCAAATGAACACCCCGAAATCAACACCCAAAAATCAGCACCAAAACCCAGAATCCCAAAATCAAAAATCCCGAAATCAACACCAAAAAATCAGCACCAAGGCCCAGAACCCGAAATCGGGAACCCGAAATCAGCACCCAGGGAATGAGACCCCAAATCCCAAAAAGGAGCAGGGAATGAGACCCCAAATCCGGGAAGGAGCAGGGAACAAAACCCCAAACCCCAGAGAGGGGCGGGGAACGAGACCCCAAATCCTGGGAATGAGAGAGACCCCAAATCCCAGCAGGGATCCCATCAGGAACGCAGGGAATTCCCGGGGGTTCCCTCACAAATCCCATCAGAATCCCCCAAAATTCTCCCAATCCTGCCCCAAATTCCTGCCCCAAATCCACCACAATTCCTGCCCCAAATCCCCCCAAATTCCTGCCCCAAATCCCCCCAAATCCATCCCAGATTCCTGCCCCAAATTCCCCCAAATCCCCCCAAATCCATCCCAGATTCCTGCCCCAAATCC